GATCGACTGAGCAGATCTGATATCCCATTGGAGGCTTATACAGGCCTTTACTGCAAAGGCTCTATAGCAGTGGTTCTCAACCAGGGGGCTGGGGCCCACTAGGGCTCCTCAGAAAACTGCTAAATGGACCTCAGTTTAATGGTACTGGAGGAGAGCAGGTATGAATTAAGGTGTGGGAGTTTATTCAGGAACACAAATCAACAAGGCTTTTGCAACAGTCTCGTTAGCCAGCCTATTACAGTCCTTAAATATGAGGCAAAAATTTAATTCAGGAATGTATTCACTGACACAGTTCAGAATCAAACATCAACTTAACTAGAAGTCCATTCGGAGAATAATCCATTCATGATCACAAGGAAGATTAGTCCATACACAATGAGCAAGGTATGTATCCCTTACTATGTCAATGGCCAGACAAAAACTAAGGGTGAGTCCAAAATTGCCACCTATTCCTTCAAATAGGGCACTATTTGAGGGGACAGCCATTTGTAGTGTGGGAACACTCATTTAATACCAAAATGGTCCTCGCACCGGTCGTTAATAATTATGTGGGCCCACGATCACAAAGTAGAGTTTTTGGTCACTAAACAGAGGTAACTGGCTAATATCTTAGGCGGTCGCATTCACGCTTACTCAATCTAAGATTCAGTATACACTTGAATTAAAGTAACGTTTACTTTAGACAGAGGTCATGGCCACTACTACAGATATAAGCCGACCAATATTACTTCTCTGATAGTAGCTTTGGTTTGGTCAAGCCATGGTTTCCCACATACACTTAACTAGAGTAACATTCAATTAAACAGAGGTAAGACTCACCCTATTTAGGTTGGTCGAGCAACATTTTGCTGTCCTAAACGGAAAATCCCATTTTTGCCTTTACAAAACCAGGTACACTTGAATTAGTGCCAAATATTAGCTGGAACTCTAAAATTGCAGTTGGTGTGCCCTATGCTCCACTCAAAACTGGATGTTAATCTGTTACTAATCTGACGCAGATTTGCAATAACAATTGATACAACATAATCTACTAAAGTTAATAATTTCAGAGTAAATCAGAATAAATCCAAATGTAACAATGTATTATTAGTCAGGTAAATGTATCATGCCAATTACATAATCAATTCAAAGCTAATCAATAATAACACCAAATGCTCTGAAAGACACTCAGCATTACGGGTCAATCTCATTACAAATCGCGCCGAGCCTCTTGTTGCATTTCTTTATATACCCAGAACAAGAAAGAAACCTACACATATGCTAACAATGGGAATTTGCATTAATCACTGTCTCCAGAGTTAGCACCTTTTGAGGGCAGGATGCTATTTGCATGAAAGACACCCTCCTCTGTAAGCAATATATCTCTAAACTCTTAAAAAATGTATTACCTTTTGGTTTACTTCTTTGGGGATGAGACCTTTATACCAGTCACACTGAGACATTTCAAATGATACCAAACATATATAGTAGTGTATGATAATTGGTCACATTAAACCATATAGATTTTTGGGTGAATTTCAGGTGATCTCAGCATGAGAGAGCGGCGAGATGGGAAAGGGAGAGAATTGTAAATTGGGAGGTGATCAACTTAAGTGTGATCGCTCATTATAAATCACGCCACCGGCCTTGTGGCGCTCTCTCACGGCCCACGGCCTGCTCGCCACAACGGGCAACAACGTTCGAAAGGGGGGATATGTAGTGTCTTGTCCAATCAGACACACACAAATTATTAATTATATTTAAAGAATAATCCCACAAAAGGTATGTGAACCATCCCCAAAAACTGCAACTAACATCCGAAATGCAGCTAACACCGGGCCTCTGGTTACAGGACACATGAAGATTGATAAGGTTTATGACCCAAAGGAATTTTAGAGAGAGGTTGGACTCTCACTCAATTCTTGTTGAAAAAGGAAAGATAAACTCGTTTAAACCCATATATTCTATATATAACCACTTAGGAAATGTATAAATGTATACAATTTTCCCATCTCATGATTGTCCTTTTATAGGGATATAGATATAACTTTTCTATGTATTAATTCAAACTCTTTTGGATTAATATGTAGTAGAAGGAAATCCAAGGCACTCTTCTTAGGAATTGATAAAAAAGCCTTTATTTGACTGGCTATTTCATAATAGAAAATTTAAAAGACATAGGGGAAAAAAAACAACCCACGCGTAGCGGCACAAACAGCCTTCTTCAGGGTATGTTTTTCAATCAAACATTTTCCTCTTTTATAGATGCTAATTAGAAACACCTGAATGACAAATTACAAGCACATACAGAGAAAGCCCACTAGGGGGTTGCATAGTCCAAAAAAAAAAAAAAAAAAAAAAACAGACAGAAGGCATATCACAAAAAGGGACTGAAATCTATACAATAACTACATGTTATTGAATTCCCGATCCCAAAGAGCAACTTCATACACTTTTTTTGAACTCCTTGAGCACCCTGGACATTTTTTTCTTTTGGATTAATGTTTCAGAATTGTCTATGGTTAACTAAGATCACATGTGTAGTGTGTTTGGTATGAACTCCAGTTTTCATTCCCTATTTGTTAATTTACATTACATTTGGCTAACTCTGTGACACATTAATATGATAAGAATCTTGAAGGTTCTTCTCTGAAACACCCAATCAAATTACATATGCAAATGCCCTGCTGGACAAGGGGTCATAACATTTCCGTCCAAAGGAACAACTTCTTACTGGCTCACACACCTTCAGAGGGTGTGACATCTTCACACTTTAAAAGATCACTGATCATAAGATCAACACCGTTTTTTCCCCGATTCTGGGAAATTCTGACATTAAGATGATGCTGAGCTAGAAATATACTAAGGACCCCTAAGTTTGTGCCAGGTTGCGGTCTTGTTTTTTACCAAAGATCCTCTGACTCCAACTGGTTCTCTCACATCAAGACAACATCAGCAAAGATCAACTGCAGCCTCAACAAACTTGTATGTGTCTGTATGTTTGTCACGTCTTGTTTTGGTTCATGTTTTATGTCTTGTCATGTGATTCCCTTGCCCTCATGTGATCCTGTCATATGCTTCCCTATCTCTTGTCTCATGTTGTCATTGGTTAATTGTCTAATCATGTTTACAGGTGTGTCTTGTTTAGTGATTAGTCGTCCATGTGTGTATTTAAGCCGGCATTTAAGTCTTGGTCAAGTATTGCTCGTGTAACCACTGTGTGGTTTATGTCAAGTCTTTGTTTTGTATTTTGATCATGTTTGGATATAAATAAACTGCACTTGGGTTCTGCCCAAGTGGTCTTCAGTGGACCTCGTTACAATGTTAGATTAGTCTAAGTCTTTAGTCTAGTTAATAAAGTCTTGTTTTTGTCACATGTAAAGTTGTTTGTGGTTCGTGCTCATATACTGGAGTCCCTAATCATGCAGATTTTGGCTACATGCTCTGAGTAGTATTGCAGAAAGAAAGTTATTTCCCATACTCAGAAATTAGCATTTCTTAGAATTAATAAACAATTAACACTCAGTGTTTGCTGGACGAACAACAGGTTAATTGATTGTAATATTAATTCAATTAACTGATCCAAATATTTATAATTATAACTAGTTAATTAATTAACATTAATCATTACATGAATTATTCATATTTCCCTTGAGCTAATTTGCGACACAGTTTTATGCTGGCAACAGTTAGCAGACATCATCATCCAATCCACGTTGGAAGCAGTGAATAAGAACATGATCATCCCTCGCCGTTAGGTAACAATACCCAAAGAACTCCTCCACATATTCTTCAATCCTCCTCCCATCCTAAAATATGGTGCAAAGGAAAGCCTCAGGTTCAAGGAAAAATCCAGTTGAATTCATCACGTACAGTCTGGCCATTCTGTAATGATACAAGAGGATAACAGGTATGAATCACAGGTATGATAACAGGAACACAAATCAACAGTCTCATTAGCCAGACGTTCCACATAACTCAGGTAAGTATTCACAGGAAAGGTCTTTCAAAGTTGTTAGGAACCGGGTACAACAAATAACAAAATTATCATAGGTTGGGATTTTCACAGTCTTAAATAAATCTGCATTCACAGAAGACTTAGGCCTAGGAGTCAAAAAGGATGAGAACAACTGCTCTACATGATTTAGGTTTACAGTACATCTATTGTTTGATTAGGGTAAACTCTGCATGACAGTGAACCTCAAGGGTCAGAGATGCCCACGTGAAGCAACAATAAACAATAAATCTATAAAGTCTTTTGTAGGCAACTCAGGATCTTCTGGTGACATCAACTGTATAATGACGCTAATATGTCCTTTTCAATGCCTCTCCTGTGTAACCTCCCTTTCTCACATCCTTAAACCTCTTATTGAATATTCTTGAAAACAGACTCACACACACACACATACTCGGTTTCACTATCTTTGTGGGACTCTCCATATAGGCATAATGATTTTTATACTGTACAAACTTTTGTAGCCTACTATATATTATAGGCCTATCTATCACCTTACACTAAACCCACCCCTAAACCTACACATCACAGACAACTTTCTGCATTTTTACATTTTCATTTAGTATGTTTACAAATCCATTTCCCTCGTGGAGATCGCTGACTGGTCCCCACAATGTAGGGGATCTGAGGGTTTACTGCTATAATACCAATGATACTTAGTAATATGTTTTGGAACCATGTCATGCATTATTTATGCATGCAAAATAATGTAAATTCATTTTAATAAAAAAACTCAATTAAAATTATCTAATTTGAATTGGTTCAAGTTTACTTGTTTCAAAATTAATTCAGCTATGGTTTAAAATGTGGAATTGTTTGTTTTTTTGGTGCTATTTTAAAGTCGTGAAAAAAATAACGCATGGCTCAAAATTGGCAATTCACTTCCGGATTTCATGACTACAGTACAAACATTAGAATTCACTTTGAAGTTAAAGTTTAGCGATATACCGCCACCTAGTGGTCGTTAGCTTTCGCCCGCTGTAAATACACTCCTTTAAACTCAATGTATCGTTTCGTAAACTTCTAACACACCACAAAAATCTCGCGGGAGTGGGGGAGGATATCTGTGTTTATTTTCTTTAACAGCCACAGATGGTTTCAGTGGCTGTGAGACTGACTGGCACGCAGAACGGCTGTCGGGGATGAAGCTGCTGCTTTGGGGGAAAAGTTGCATTTATTGCACGCATAGCTGGGGCACGAGACATAAGCTCTCATGATGTTAATGCAAATAGTTATGTTTGCTATTTTGGTTTTGAGCGTCAGTCCCGGAGAAGGTTTCCCCAATTACAAAGATGACTACATGGACGAGGACTTGGCCACCTTCGACTATTACAAAGGGACGGATGAGTTTGATGAGGGGAACAGGACGCAAGAGTGTGAGGAGTGTGTCCCGGAGCTGTGCCCGCTGGCGCAGGGCTGTAGAGCGGGGCTGGTGCAGGACAGTTGCGACTGCTGCTCTCAATGCGCCAACCTGGAGGGACAGACCTGTGATCTCGGCCAGAGAAATCTCTATTATGGATTGTGTGGAAAGGACATGGAGTGCAAACTGGACAGGTCAGATGGAGCGGACGGCGAGGAGCCAGAAGCGCAGTGTGTGTGTTCGTCTCAGAAACCTCTGTGTGGCTCAGACGGACAGACCTATATGAATCTCTGCAAATACAAAGAAGCTTCTTATTCAAAGCCTGGACTCAATGCGAGCGACGGGCCGTGCAGGACAGGTACGAATATTACAAACAACCATCACAGCATTTTACAACCATATATTTACTTGTGTTTTGTGTTTGTTTGTTTGTTTGTTTGTTTGTTTACTTTCTTTTTAATGCATGATTTTTTTCTTTAACAAACGTTTCTTTCTTTCTTTCTTTCTTTCTTTCTTTCTTTCTTTCTTTCTTTCTTTCTTTCTTTCTTTCTTTCTTTCTTTCTTTCTTTCTTTCTTTCTTTCTTTCTTTCTTTCTTTCTTTCTTTCTTTCTTTCTTTCATGGAGTACAGATGTTTCAAGAGTGTTTTTTTCCCAACCTTTATTTATTTATTGTTTGTATCTCAAGAGTGTTTTCCATCAACCATTATTTAATTTGATTAAATTTTCCCACGCTTTTTTCTTTAATAAATGGAAAAATAAATGTGTTTCAAGAGTTTTTCTTTACCAGCATTTATTAATTAATTTAAATGAAGAAGATATGTCAAAAGTTTTTCCCCAACAATATTTCTTTCTTTCTTTCTTTCTTTCTTTCTTTCTTTCTTTCTTTCTTTCTTTCTTTCTTTCTTTCTTTCTTTCATAGATGTGTATCAATAGTGTTTTTTCAATATTTATTTATTTTTTTTCTTTCTTTTCTTTTTTCCAAACTTTATTTATTTATTTATTTACAACATGGAGTAGTATCTCGAGTGTTTTTCAAACCAACATTTAGTATAATTTAATTCACGTTTTTGTTTTTCTTTCTTTAATGCATAGAATAGACATTTTTTAAAATTCTATCTAACATTTATGTATGCATGTATGTATATGTATGTACAGTGTGTATGTATTTCTTTAATAAATAGAGTAGAAATATCTCAAGTTTTTTTTTTAAGAAGTATTTATGTATATTTTTTATCTCTCTCACTCTTTCTTTTAATTTTCTTTCACACGTGGAACTGAAGTGTTATATCAAGAGTGTTTTTCTCTCTAAGCTGCCGGAATTTTGGACCTCGCCCCTATAATTTTCCCAGTGACTTTAAAGAGTGGGTTTATGACCTTTAAACTGCTCTTCACATCAAGCTGACATAGGAAGTGGTTTCTGAATGTGATCCCTGATATGTCATCTTTACTTCTTTCTGTTTCTCTGTCTTTTTCTGGTAAGCCCCCGTCATCAAAGTGCCGCCGCATAATCTGGTAAATGTAACGGGCAGCAGTATAGCATTTCTCTGCGAGGTGTTTGCATTTCCAATGGCGCTAGTGGAATGGAAGAAAGATGGAAAAGAGGTCATTTTACCGGGCGATGATCCCCACATATCTGTTCAGGTAAAGTATTTCCAAATGTAAGAGCGCCGTTGTTTTAAACAGAAACTCTGTGAAGTAATATAGCTATAGCCTTGACTTATGTGTAGGGCCACATAGAATCTGCAGCCACAGAACTCTATAAGCTCTACAGATTTCCATATGTCATTCATAAAAGTCTACTCTTCTCCTACCATGTGTCCGTTTATTAAATATTTTGGCTAATACGCGATACCACGTTAAAAGAAATTATTCTCAATTACACTGTTTTTTTTCCCCCCACAAAATGAGTGCAGAAAATGTGATTTAAAGCCAGCAGATTTGATTGGATTATTAATGTCTAACTGCACTGTTTATGGTTTCAAGGTTTAGGACATTCCTAGGTGTGTGCCTTAATGAACTTGTCAAGAATTGCAAAAGATATGGATCCCCTTCCTCAGCAGATATAGGAAAAATGTAGCCTAATATATTTCAGGATCCACCTCAGCCTGTCCATTTCTTTTTCCATATCTGTTTTCCTGTAGTCACGAGGTGGCCCTCAAAAGTATGAACTTTCCAGTTGGCTGCAGATTGAAGAGTCCAGTCAGATGGATTCTGGCACATACAGGTGCATTGCTCGAAATGAGCTTGGCCACATCTCAGCCACAGCAATTTTAGGAGTCCTGCCACCAGGTAAAAAGATATACCCTCACATTAATACTTCCTGTCCCATTACCTTTATGTATAATCTATTATTATTATTATTTTTTACTCAGATGAGATGTCTGCCTATTTGGAACAAAACATGAATGAAATGATGGGCTATGACCAATTACAGGACTATGACAGGGATTATTACTAAACTTCCAAGACCCTCAAGGAAAACAATGTTTTTCACTTATAGACATTAAATTTGAGACATGGCAAGAAGACACTCAGGCATTGACTGCAAAAAAGTAATAAACCAGTAACCCCCAAAGAGCTTTTTCTACATCTGGATAATCAAACATGTAGGCGGCGGGGAAGAAGCTTGAATAAATTCCCAATGGCACAGGCCACTAAAATGGATGAAAAACACACCATGAGATGAGCGGAGGAGCAATTGGAGCAGTTCAGGAACTGCTAGAAGCTCTAAAATTCGGCACAGAGAGTAGCTACTGGAGCTCAATGTCTCTTTTGTTTCACCAACACTCTCCTTCAAAGTGACAAGTTAAATAACAAAACATGAATAAATGTGAAATGTGTGAGAGCTGCACGATTATGACAAAATATATATTTGTTGATCCTTTCTTTTCATATTATAAGTGCAGTTATGAATTTTGATCTGTAGAATTGACTTTAAAATCATTTTTGTGCGTTTCAACACTTTTTTTCGCTTTGGTTCTAAAATTTATTTTTGAACGTATTGTAAACATAACATTACGACTCAACTGGAGTAGACAGAAATGGAATGCTGTAATCGTCCCTTTCACAATTAGTTAATCGTAGAAGCTTTAATTGTAATTCCAAAAACTATACATTTATACAACAGTTTAATATTGAGTAACTCTCATATTAGACACAATAGTGCCAGTTAATCGGTTAATAGTTTTTGCTCTATAAATGGAAATAGTTCCAAACTAAGCCATAGAAGACTTTTTAAACCAACATACTTTTTAACAGTCACAAAGTAATTACTTATTCAAAAAAAGTATCTACTCAGAGAATATGCAATTTCAGATGCAGCCACAGGATTTGTTGCCAAATGAATTAGTGCTTTAAGACAAATCTGTTGATTCTGTGATTAACTCATGCAAAAAATGTCACTGAAAAATCCCCACTGAAATGCACAGACGGACAGTCTTATCTTTGAAAGGCCACTGTTGTTGGAGTACTTGCTGCTGTCTCTTTGGTGCCAACTCAGTTCTTCACAAACCATCCTTTTCTACTCAAAGAAGAATGTGTATCAGTTTATGTATGTTTCCACATGTGGCATCCCTCTTTTACTAGCCTTTCCTTTGAGTGTGTGTGTGTGTGTGTGTGTGTGTGTCAGATCTGGGTGAGCCATTTGAGCACACAGCTGGCTTTAATAGCTATATCTTTATGATCTCCTGTCTTAAGACATAAACACAGATATTATATTCTTCAGTACATGTGCATACAGGTCGCACTCATGGGACTTCTTTTGATGAAAATACAACAAACACCATCAGGCTACTTATTGATATAAACACTTCTAACCTCTTTAATTTCACCTCTTAGTGGTGAAGAGACCTGTATTTAACGGAATGGCTTTGGATAACAGAGCTTTTTAACCCCCCATCTCTCTTCTGCCCTCTCATGATGTTCTCTGGTGCCTTTAACTTAGAGTAATTATGGTAATAGCTATGCATGCAATGTTAGGTTATGGTTTTGATGCTACATTATTTAAACTGTGCAAAAGATTCCTATTTTGACACCATGTTGTTTCAGAGCTCTGTTCAGAAGAAACTTTGGATGATGTTTTACATAAATGTACTGTAATTTGACTGTAAAAATACTAATGCAGAGTTATACACCATTCTTTCTTTTCAAAAACAGTAAGTGTAATAAACCAAATGTAACAACATGTGGTTAAAGGGTCCATTTGCAGTGACTTCCATCCAACAGTCAACTGTTAAAGCAATTAGTCTGCAGTAAGGTCTAAATCATTTCAAACGGAGAGCACCCTGGGACATGCCGGTTTCCTCTGGCCTTAAACAACCAAACATTCTGCAAAATCAGAACACCATGGAAGCTTATGTCTGCCACAGAAGAATATATATATATACACTCACCGGCCACTTTATTAGGTACCCCATGCTAGTAACGGGTTGGACCCCCTTTTGCCTTCAGAACTGCCTCAATTCTTCGTGGCATAGATTCAACAAGGTGCTGGAAGCATTCCTCAGGGAGTTTGGTCCATATTGACATGATGGCATCACACAGTTGCCGCAGATTTGTCGGCTGCACATCCATGATGCGAATCTCCCGTTCCACCACATCCCAAAGATGCTCTATTGGATTGAGATCTGGTGACTGTGGAGGCCATTTTAGTACAGTGAACTCATTGTCATGTTCAAGAAAACCAATTTGAAATGATTCGAGCTTTGTGCCATGGTGCATTATCCTGCTGGAAGTAGCCATCAGAGGATGGGTACATGGTGGCCATAAAGGGATGGACATGGTCAGAAACAATGCTCAGGTAGGCCGTGGCATTTAAACGATGCCCAATTGGCACTAAGGGGCCTAAAGTGTGCCAAGAAAACATCCCCCACACCATTACACCACCACCACCAGCCTGCTCAGTGGTAATAAGGCATGATGGATCCATGTTCTCATTCTGTTTACGCCAAATTCTGACTCTACCATCTGAATGTCTCAACAGAAATCGAGACTCATCAGACCAGGCAACATTTTTCCAGTCTTCAACTGTCCAATTTTGGTGAGCTCTTGCAAATTGTAGCCTCTTTTTCCTATTTGTAGTGGAGATGAGTGGTACCCGGTGGGGTCTTCTGCTGTTGTAGCCCATCTGCCTCAAAGTTCGACGTACTGTGCGTTCAGAGATGCTCTTCTGCCCACCTTGGTTGTAACGGGTGGTTACTTGAGTCACTGTTGCCTTCTATCAGCTCGAACCAGTCTGGCCATTCTCCTCTGACCTCTGGCATCAACAAGGCATTTCCGCCCACAGAACTGCCGCTCACTGGATGTTTTTTCTTTTTCGGACCATTCTCTGTAAACCCTAGAGATGGTTGTGCGTGAAAATCCCAGTAGATTAGCAGTTTCTGAAATACTCAGACCAGCCCTTCTGGCACCAACAATCATGCCACGTTCAAAGTCACTCAAATCACCTTTCTTCCCCATACTGATGCTCTGTTTGAACTGCAGGAGATTGTCTTGACCATGTCTACATGCCTAAATGCACTGAGTTGCCGCCATGTGATTGGCTGCTTAGAAATTAAGTGTTAACGAGCAGTTGGACAGGTTTTCCCTGATAAAGTGGCCGGTGAGTGTATATATATATATATATAAAAAAAGTTAATTGTGACTTTTTATCTCACAATTCAGACTTTTTTCCTTGCAATTCTGAATTGACATCTCACAATAATTCTGACGTTTTTCTTCAGAATTCTGAGTTTCTCAAAAGAAAAATAGAAGAATAGGCAATTGCGACTTTTTATCTCACAATTCTGACTTTTTTTTTCCCACAATTGAGTTTATATCAGTTCAGAATATGTTCCTCACAATTGTGTTTATATCTCGCAATTGCAAGTTATAAACCTGAAATTCTGAATTTACATCTTACAATTCTGACTTTTTTTCTCAGAAGTCTGAGTTTACATCTTGCGATTCTGATTTTTCCCCCTTGCAGTTCTCAGTTTACATCTTACAATTCTGACTTACAATTCTGACCTTTTTCTTCAGAATTCTGAGTTTACATCTCACAATTCCTTTTTCCCCCTTGCAATTCTGCAGTTTACATCTCACAATTCTGACTTTTTTCTCTGAATTCTTAGTTTAATCAAATCAAATCACTTGATTGTCACAACCATACACAAGTGCAACAGTGGGTGAAATTCTTAGGTGCAGTTCCCGAGCAACATAGCAGTCATGTATGTACTTCAGTCATACATCTTGCAATTCAGATTTTAATCAAAATTTTATTTACATTACATTTACAATACCAAGAACACACACTCACCTAAAGGATTATTAGGAACACCATACTAATACTGTGTTTGACCCCCTTTCGCCTTCAGAACTGCCTTAATTCTACGTGGCATTGATTCAACAAGGTGCTGAAAGCATTCTTTAGAAATGTTGGCCCACATTGATAGGATAGCATCTTGCAGTTGATGGAGATTTGTGGGATGCACATCCAGGGCATGAAGCTCCCGTTCCACCACATCCCAAAGATGCTCTATTGGGTTGAGATCTGGTGACTGTGGGGGCCATTTTAGTACAGTGAACTCATTGTCATGTTCAAGAAACCAATTTGAAATGATTCGAGCTTTGTGACATGGTGCATTATTCTGCTGGAAGTAGCCATCAGAGGATGGGTACATGGTGGCCATAAAGGGATGGACATGGTCAGAAACAATGCTCAGGTAGGCCATGGGATTTAAACGATGCCCAATTGGCACTAAGGGGCCTAAAGTGTGCCAAGAAAACATCCCCCACACCATTACACCACCACCACCAGCCTGCACAGTGGTAACAAGGCATGATGGATCCATGTTCTCATTCTGTTTACACCAAATTCTGACTCTACCATCTGAATGTCTCAACAGAAATCGAGACTCATCAGACCAGGCAACATTTTTTCCAGTCTTCAACTGTCCAATTTTGGTGAGCTCTTGCAAATTGTAGCGTCTTTTTCCTATTTGTAGTGGAGATGAGTGGTACCCGGTGGGGTCTTCTGCTGTTGTAGCCCATCCGCCTCAAGGTTGTGCGTGTTGTGGCTTCACAAATGCTTTGCTGCATACCTCGGTTGTAACGAGTGGTTATTTCAGTCAAAGTTGCTCTTCTATCAGCTTGAATCAGTCGGCCCATTCTCCTCTGACCTCTAGCATCAACAAGGTATTTTCGCCCACAGGACTGCCGCATACTGGATGTTTTTCCCTTTTCACACCATTCTTTGTAAACCCTAGAAATGGTTGTGCGTGAAGATCCCAGTAACTGAGCAGATTGTGAAATACTCAGACCGGCCCGTCTGGCACCAACAACTATGCCACGCTCAAAATTGCTTAAATCCCCTTTCTTTCCCATTCTGACATTCAGTTTGGAGTTCAAGAGATTGTCTTGACCAGGACCACACCCCTAAATGCATTGAAGCAACTGCCATGTAATTGGTTGATTAGATAATTGCATTAATGAGAAATTGAACAGGTGTACCTAATAATCCTTTAGGTGAGTGTATATCAAAGCTCCCATGAACTATATACAGACATACAGACAGATGGCATGAGAACGT